GAAGTTAGCACCGTTTACGGCATACTTAAATGTGCAATTATCGTACAACACTGCAATAAAACTAAGGTCTTTTTTGTAGAGTACCATAGTTTATTTGTAGTTTTGTACGATAGTTGCACAAGTAAGTATGTCGTAAACGATGAAAACTTCGACTGTCTCTATGTATAACGTAAGTATTTTATTATTCAATTATGTATAACAAATTACTTGATATTGTACTATCATGAAAAATTATTTTAAGCATTGATATTAATATTGTTAAAAATTATTATACTACTATTATATTATTTTGACCTTCGGAAAGGGTGAAATATTTTTGAAATATAATTTCAAATATCTTTTGGTAATTTAGTTGGTGTACTTGAAATATTTTTTGTAATTGAGTTGACACGCATTTCACCGGGAAACTTCTGGCCAATACAATTTCAAATATCTTTTGGTAATTGAGTTGGTATACTTGAAATATATTTTGTAATTGAGTTGACAGTTTGGCACGCGTTTCACCGAGAAACTTCTGGCCAATTGCCAAAACAACTTAATTATTACTTTAATTTTCATAAATTATATTATTAAATTTCTATCATTGTTTAAGTTAATCTATCATTTCATATTAATTTTGTTAAAAATAATTATATTACTATTTTATTATGTTAAGTTTAATATTATTTTGATCGATATTTGAGTTTCACAAATGACAATATATTAAGGTCATAGAAAAAAAAAAATTTAAAACAATGGACTTGCGCTAAATTGACATTTATTAAGTGAAAATATCATACAAATTGTAAAGTTTTTTTTGTTTTTTTTGTAAAAAAACATTTTCACTTATAAATGTCAATTTAGGTGCCTACGTATCTCTTTTATGGAGAATCAAAGTCCACGTAGTTCTTCTATTTACGTACCTTCAATTCAGTCGAGTGGAAGTCTCTAATAGTCGTACTCGTCTTCGGCCGTCCCTGTACCGCTCGTCGAACTCGTGAAATCAGATGCGTCGTCATCGTCGTTGTCGTAACTTTCTGGCCCGTCGATGAGCATAGCCGTTTGCGTCCTTCGTTCGGCTTTCTTCCAATCCATCAACAACATTTGTGCTTGTAGATTCTCGGGCGTCAACCTCGACCGTCGTGCGTCTAGCATGTAACCTCCCTCACTAAAAGCTTGTTCGACCGCTACTGTAGAGGCTGGAACAGCAAAAATCTACTTCGCCATCAAACATGGGATAGGATAAACGTTTTTCATTTTTGACCACCAATCCAAGACATCGAAGTTCAGTGGCGCAACTGGTTCACGCGCAATCCTGAGTATCAAATTCGACGTAAGGTAGTGATCCAGGTCGTTGTATCCAGTCCCTTTTGTCCTTTGGGGGTCAACATTCTTGTACGGATTTTTTGATGCCCACCACTCCTTGTAGTTTGTTGCGCCTGCTCGATTCCCGTAAGAAGAAGTACTACTGCCGCTACTGCCACGAACAAATGAGTTGGGATGCTCTCCATGCGCGATCGCTGTTTCCCTGAACATTTCATACAACAAATCTTTTGCTTGCTCGACGAGCAACCTAACGTTAGGTTTTTGACTGTATTCTTCCACCTCAGTCGGCAGTGGGAGTTCAAATATATGATTATAATAAAGATTAAGATTATCCATCAATTCAATTTCACGTACACTAGGATCTAACAAACATGCAACTAAAAATGTATCAGGAATATAAAAATTATATTTTAACCATTTCTTTAACATTTCACTCACTAAATCTGAATATTTAAAATAATCAAGTTTGTAAAGATCAGATAAAGCCCACATGATAGCTATACATTGACTTAATAC